AAAATTATATAAATTACTTTCAACGTCATTATTGTCAGATTTTGCTAATGTTTTTGAGAGGGTTGTTAAACTAAAAGTCGCTTTTGATTTGAAAAAACACAATTACACATTTGAAATGATTCAAGATGCCACCAATGCAAATTAGGATGAATGCAGGTAGGATGGGCTGCGTAATACCCACCAAAACGGGGTCTGTACGTTGAAGGAAATGGAGAACTCCTGGCTCGCTGGATAGATTTGTAGAGTATCTCTCTATTTCTCTCTCTCTCTCTGAACCATTTGCTTGCCGTTGCTTCCAAGTCGGGTGCAATGCCGGTATCCCAACTTTTTTGAAAAAAAGTACAGTTATTCCCATCCCAGAAATAGATAATTCAGTTGAAATGTCAGACTTCAGAGCAATAAATACTTTGCCGGTTATTGAGAAAGTTTTGGAAATTGTTGTGCATGAACAAATTACTAGGTACTTTACTGAAAATAACCTGTATATAGAAAATCAATCCGGATTTAGAGAACACCACTCGTGTGAAACTGCCCTTCAATTAACAGTTTCAAAATGGAAAAATGAAATCGATAGTGATAAATTTATAGTAGCAGTGTTCCTTGATTACAAGAGGGCATTTGAAACTATCGACAGGCAAATATTACTTCGTAAACTGAGATATTATGGAATCGATGGAATAGCCTTAAGTTGGTTCAAAAAGTATCTCAATGGCAAGTCACAAATAACTAGAGTGGGGAAATGTTTCTCAAATGAAATTTCAAACAATATAGGCGTACCTCAAGGGAGTGTCCTAGGACCACTGCTGTTTATAATTTACCTGAATGATATACATTATATACAAGGTTATGATTTTTTGAATTTATTTGCAGATGACACATTATTTGCATGCTATTGACATGACGCTGAAGAAACAGTGGAGAGCATGAATCAATTGTTGAAATTAATTGAAATATATGTAAACGAAAATAAACTAAAAATTAATACGAATAAAACCAAATCAATGATAATTAATAAGAAACATAAACTGAAATCAATTGACTATGAAAAGCTTCAACTCGAAGTGAAGGGAGACAAAATTGAACGGATGTCAGAATTCAAGTATTTAGGCTTCATGTTGGATGAATCACTAACACGCAATGCACACTGTGATTATATATGTGAAAAGATATCAAAAAAACTTTTTTTTTTCTCCAGGATTTCATCGGAAGTTTACATGTTTTCAAAAATAACAATATACAGAACCATTATACAGCCCCATTTTGATTATTGTTTCACTCTGCTATATCTTTCAGATAAAAACAATATATCGAGGTTTATGAATCATCTTGAAATGTGATAGATACACTCCCATTCAATGTATGCTGAGTGCCCTTAAGTGGTATGATGTGGCAGATAGACTGTATTACTCAAGTATGATATTTATCTATAAAATAACCAGAAATTTATTACCAAAATATTTTGTTTCCTTCATTACGTACAATAATCAAATTCATGACTACAACACAAGAACCACCAATCAATTCCATATTTCCAGGACAAGAACAAAGCAATCTATGAAATCGTTGTTTTTCAAAGGATTGAAAGATTCTGTTACTTCATATTCATTCAAGGCTCAGTTGAAAATATATATCACATCACGTACTCTATGAATTTTTGGAATTTTTTTAATTTTTATGTTTCACATCATCGAATTGTTTTATTGGTTCGAGCTTTTATATGTTCTGTATACATTGTGTTACATCGTGTTACATTGTGATATGTTAAATATTTCATCACCTACCCACTCGAATAATTGTTTTTATGCCCTAGTATAATTGTGATATGGAACTAACTATTCTGAATACTCCTGATTTGGAACACAAAAGATAGTATTTATCGATATGAAATTGTTGTGTCCTATCTATTATTCATATATTAAGGGTGGAAGGTTTTCAAATTGACACCCTGTACAAAACAGAGTGAATGAGTTTATAAACTGTCAATAATTTTTTGCTGTAACAATTCATGCAATAATTCAAATGAATCCGGTTCAAATCATTCGAAATATTCCATTCTAGAATTTAGAGCGTTTGTTGTGAAAACACATCATTCACTTAACTCACTACACAGGTTATATATTGTTTTTCATCAATTTTCTAATTTCTATCACCAATATTTGGGTCGCAACTGAAAAATTCATACTTTCTGGGTACTTTGTGGGTAAGTCATTGTTTATAAAAAACGTCANATCACCAATATTTGGGTCACAACTGAATAATTTATACTTTCTGGGTAAGTCATTGTTCATAAAAAACGTCAAAGTAGTCAATTCCATATGAAAATTATTATTCATAATTCAATGTCCGTTTGGCATTCATTTGTTGTACAATATCAATAATTATAGTTTTTATTATTATATTCTCGTGGCGATTCATAAAAAAACGCATGAGAAAGAAGGCTGAGAGAGAATAACAAAAAATTATGAAAGGTGTCATTTTGACACTGAAAACCCCAGGTGAGAAGGTGATTGTTACCACGATTTTTTGTACGTACTAACCTGCTGGGAGACATCAATTTCAAAATTGTAAATCCGTTTGTCGATTACGTTGATTTCGATAGTCAGAATT